CGGACCATGGGAGGTGTCCCCTGCCACTAACCGCCAGGCAGTTGGCCCTCTGCCTTTGATCCTCTCTACCCCCTCCCCAACTGGGTTATCCACTCTGTTGCTGCTAGCCTGCTGCCCCCCACAGCTGCCATGGCAGCCAGGGCTCTCTGGCCCCTGGGTGGCCAAGTTTCACCGGCTCCATGCTGCCATAGGTACTGCAGTGGGGGGGCCAAGGTTCCCCAGCCCCACTGCCCCCAGCCCTGGCTAGGCTTCTGGCCCTCCTGCCATTAGGTTCCTGGGATCTCTGATCCAGGAGCAAAATAATCAGACTACACAAAATTTTGCTGCATGTAACGGGACGGAAATAGGGATAGAAAAATTGTTTGGTTAAGATTTCTCTTAATAACAAAATCAGTATCTGATAAGCCTTCTCTCGGTCAAAAACATCCAAGTTTCCTCTTTTGGACCCATGCCAGAATAAGCTCAGGTACTAAAGGAAACAATTTAGCGTTGTAAGCTCAGATTCCTGTAGAAAATGTGCACAGCATTCGTTCTGGTGTTTTCTGCTTCCATGGAAACATTTTCCCTGCATACTTCTAAATCTTAAACATAGAGCACTAGGGCCTATATTAAACAGCAAGACACTTCCAATACAAATGACCACAAAATTTTCATCTAGATCACTGAATACTTTGTTCAGTGTCAAACAGAATTTTCAGTTTCACAATCTACTGTCATAGTGATGAATCCATGGAACTATATGAAAACACCCAACAAGCATATCTCCTTTCTTGGCTTTTGTTTTTGTTTTGGGCAATCAGCAGCAACTGCACAATATGTTTCCCTTTCCCTTTTTCAGACATATTGCTGAATCATTGCCTAAACATTCCTTCTTGTGCCACATTTTTCCCCTCTCCCAGTGCAGTTTTCCTTCTATCTTTGTCTCTTTCCATTCCACAACACAATTTTCCTTTAGCTCAATATCTTTTTCCCTGATCCAGTTCCCAGTTAGTTCAGCAAGGAGCAAATTAACCTGGTTTCTGCTGTTAATGGAAATATATTTGGAGCCATATTTGAGAAGGAATTGGTGTGTGAATTTGTATTTAAGTTCATATCTAATTAAAGATTAAAACCATCTGAATGGCAAAAGATTATTTGATTGCTACTTTCAGACTTCATTGGAATAGATAGCAAAGTTCATGCATGAGGAATAAGCTCCTGTCTTTTTAATTTCAGCAGTGGTATTGAAACATAAAAAAAGCTGCCAGGATTACTCCTTGGTGAAAAAAGATGATCATGGAAAAATGTATCTATCATCTAGCCCCCCCAATCATGCCTGCTCTAAAGGATTACCAGGTAACTTTTCAAAGAAGACTAAGTCAAGAATGAAATGACTGAAAGAAGCAAAACTATCCCAATCTACAGCCTATACAAACTAATAACTAGTTAATTTGTCTTATACATGCTAAATAGAATGATTTCTTCATGACTTCTCACTATGCTCAGGACCACACTTTTATTTCAGATTAGATCAGTTTCATTTAATGAATGAAGGACCAGGAGTCTTGAGAATAGGGTTCATTTCTTGCCTCTATTACAGGCTTTAAGAAGGAAGGTCTGGTGGCCTGGGCATTAGCATAAGACTTGGGAGGCTGGAATTCAGTCACTTGCTTTACCACAGACTTCTTAAGTGACCATGAGCAAGTCACTCAGCCACTCTGTTCCTCAGTTTCCATCTATTAAATGAAAAAAATAACACCTTCTTACCTCACAGGAGTGTTGTGAGCATAAATCCATTAAAGAGACTGTGCGGTGTTCAGATACTATAGTGATATCTCTGTCTCATGTATAAAATGAGAACACTTCCATTGCTATTGGAATTATTTTTATTGCAGCAACACCCATATTAAAACCCAATCAGAATCAGGGTTCCAGCCCTGACAGCCCATGCCCCAATTACCTTATATTCTAAAAAGACAAAAATAAATAAATTGAAGGTGGGGAAAATGGATACACTAAAGAAACAAAGCAATGTTAGAACTATGTTTATTTCTGATTTTCCTTCTCTCAGTCTCAGACATGATTTTTAATGTAATACAAAAATACCTTAAAAGTATTTTTGTAAAGGGATTGGTGGAAACAAGGAACAATCAGATCTAACTAACCCTCCAAAACTCTAATCCTCAGATGGGAGATGCTATATTAAGGTATATTATTTGTGACTTTTTTAGTTCAATATTAGTGTACGAGAGCTCCATCTACTGGTGTTTATTAAACTTATTTGAACCACATTCTTTTTAGTGCTAATATGTGTTTAAAATCCAACTGAACACTTACAAACACATAATATAGCTTTAGAGTTACTGGATACACTATCTTTCAGGGAAAGAACCTTCTAAAAATAGCTATCAAGAATACTGGCCACATTTGAGCAAACATGTGAACATATATAACTTATCATGGGCAATGATAGCACTGTGTAGGAGTTCCTGCAGCTTAGACAGTTTTCCTAGGAAATTAACTTTATTTTGAGGTTTTTAAGATACTGATGTACAAGTGAAGCACATGGCATAATTAATTCCCTATGAATAAGTACTGCATACAATTGGGACTTTAAAACTTAGAAGAACAGGCAACTAATATTCCTTTGCATTCCTGGGAAATACAACATATATGATGGATGAAGAGAGCATGTCATTTTCATTTCCCAAAGAGAGGTGTTTTGTAATATTGCAATGAGCTCTGCTGATCACACCATACAGACAGATTCAATTTAAAGTATCTCAGGTCAACTTGGTTTTACTTGAGTGTTTCAATTTAAATTGGGTCTTCAAAGATGCTGCTTACTATCTTCTTCTCTCTTCAGAAGACTTTTTTCAGCAAAATATGTCTGGGTAAATATTGTAATTTCTTAGTAAAAAGAAATGAGTCCCTATATATGTTTAGAAGTCATATATGCTACTGCAGTGAGAAAGGTATGTTTTTACTATTTTTTAAGTTATACTGTTGTAACACTGCATAGCCGATACTCTACTAAGGAAGAGTAAGCTGAATTCCTTTCTGGCTTTCTTTCTGAGAATAGAGCTGTTAACTATTACCACAAATGCCACATTTATTGCTCGTTTACACTCTTGTTGTAGCCTGTGGTCCCAAAATATGACCGAGAGAAGATGGGTGAAGTATTATCTTTTACTGCACCCATATCTGCTGGTGAAACAAAATACATTAGTGGATATGATGCACAAAGGAGAAAGAACACAGCCTGGATTTTAGATCCAGGATTAAGTTTGCAGAAACAGCAGTTAAAACATTTTTTCTACAACTATTCTGAGCACATCTGGACGCTAATTCTACTTGTAAATTGAGTGAACAGACCTTTTGTACAGGAAGAGTCCACTCATGAGAATGGGATTGCAGGATCAGAGTGTTGATGTGCAAGTCAGAACCCAGATTTCACAATTTAAAACATTTTGTACCCAAAACTTCCTAGTTAATAAATCAAGTGTACATTTTTAATGATTTTACTCACTTTAATTATTAAAAAGGGGGCAAAGCAACGAGCAATTTTTAGTTTTCATTATTTTAGCAATACTGCCTCATTCAGTATTTTTTAAATGACCAGAATGCCCAGAACATAATGCCCAGAACAGAGACAATACATCTATGATATACTGCAGTTATACAAGAAGTTCAAGTATTTTGACAAATGATTTTGATTCTACAATAACTATTTAAACATATTTTAGTACAGATATTTACAATGTGACTTTTCTATAGAGTAACAGATAAAACCACTGAAAACTGCAACACAATACTTGATAAAGGAATACTCTGAAATTTAAACTGAGGGAGATGGGAAATCTGTTTTACGATCAAGACATGTAGTCTGCAGCTAGAAATACTGAGAGACATGCAATACTTTCATTTAGGAGAGAGATGGCATTTCAAATTACATGCAAACTAGGGGAGATAAAAGGTCCACAGGTTAGATCAATGTGTGCACTTATATATAGGATAAGGATTGCACTTATTTTAAACTGATGGACTATACATATCACACTCGAATCTAAAGCCTCTTATCTGCAGAGTTACACGGTGCAGAAGTTTCTCTAATATTATTAAGACAATAGATCTTGAATACAGCCCGGAAAGAGTCTCTAGTTACATATGTCCATGATGTTTTTTCCTTTCTAAAATTAGGTTCCGCATCTTCCACTTTGAAATGAAAAGGGACTAAACTCCATTTTACAAAGCACAACCCTAACCCTAATTGTTTCCAAGAAGGTATCTATTTAGGATTTGATCCCATACTATTAAAGTTTTGCAATCCTTACTTTTAATTATTAACATAGCTTTTTCTCTTAGTGCACAGAGTAAGATGAAGTTAAGATGTAAATCTGAAATATTTTAAATTGTATTTTGGTTACACAGGGTCAGATATAAAATTAAAATGTACATTTTATGGCGTGAGAAAATCCCATGAACACAGGGATAGCCTAATTCTTGGTTATTCCATGTTTTAAAACACTTCAGACATGTTGGCCAACATGCTCTCCATGAACAGTAGTAAGTGTATACTCTTCAACAGTTTGCTCATGATTCAAGAAGAAAGTCACCACTGCATATTCATTTACAAAAAATTACACACTGTGATATAGCTGATAAAAATATTTGGAACTTATGATTTCTTATAATAGTATTTCTCTTGGGGTTCAATTACAAATCCATCTGATTACATGACACTAATTTATCTGAATATCTAATTGTATGAATGCATAATTGTATCAGAAGCTGATACGAACAGTATAGTTACTTGTTAAATTGCTATTGTAAGGAGAAGGGAAGTGAATATGACATGTGCACTTCATTTTCTTTTTTGCTATGCAGTTGAGCCAAACATTTTTCTGGCTTCATCAATATACCATTAGATTTTGCCATATGGCATTATCCTATGATAATTGAAACAATGGCAACTAAATATAACACATGATGATCTGATAGAACAATATAGCATTTAACCAGAAGTTATTGTTTCCACTGGAAATGGTAGCAACAAGAAGTGACAAAATTTTGACCTGCTAGCCTTATTTCCATGTATTATGGAAGATGAGAAAGAGTATGCCAGAAAAATCTTGTTTGTAGTGGCTCAGAAAGGAATAACAGAATGGATTAAATTGAGCAGAGTAATGTTTAGGGTAGATATCAGAAAAATTAGTATTAGCTAGACTCTAATCTTTGCAGTGATAGAGTGTTATCAAGCTCACCTCTGGAGTTACACAAATTTAGAGGACACAAAGCACTATGTAACAAAACGTCTCCTCTGATGGGGACAGAAAGAAGGTCAAAATTCCGGTCTGAAAAAAGACCCTCTTCTTTAGGCACAGAATCAGTGTTCTGTATTTCAGCTTGTCCTTCCCAATGATAGGTTACAGGTCAAATGATAACCAGTTTGTCATACTATCCAATAATTTTCCAAAAGTAAGTATTAAAAATGTCACGTAATCAGAACACCTTTGTTAGAAGTTTTCTAAATGTCTTTTAGAACAATCATACTATTTGAAATACTGGATTATGTCCCTATTGACAACTGAGACAATTACTTTGAAAGAGGAACTATGAACAGTAGTCCATTCAACTGAAATTCATCACTGAAAAAGCTATCACGTTGGCACCTCATTTGGATGCACGTCCTTATTTTCTTCAGGTGTATTATTTTGCTTCTCACTTTTGTAGCTAGAAAGGAATAAGTTTTCTATCTGAGTCAAGAATTCTTCCGCAATGAAGCAGTTTGTTACCTTGCCCAGAGTCTTCCTCATACACTCCAAAAGCTGGTTTAAAAGAAAATTATTATTAAATTCAGAAACAGATAATAATTGCTCAACTTAAAGTTTCAATCGTTAAAAACTAAAGAAACTGTTTGTCTTTCTAGCTGATAAATGCTGCCAGGGTAAATCTTGATTTATTTGGCAGGTCTGCAGAAACCATTCACCATAAAGTACATACTGGGATTACCATAAAGAAACAGATCAACGATCCCAGGGAACACTTATTTCTGACTTCAGCCAATGATCAGTTTGTGTTCAATAACTGGCTATGAAACACAGGCTTGAAATAATAAACTTTGCAACACAGAATTTACATTATTCTATAGACAATATAGGCACAGGATTCTTTACCAGAAATCACACAATAGCTAAATTCAAAAGATCTTTCAGACAATTTCAGATTTGTGTTATTTTTGCATATAATTATTTTGTTTATATAACTTTTAGTTGTTTACACAGTTAATGGCAGAGAATCAATCATTTAGAATTTCATAAAAATGTCTACACTAATTGGAAAACTAAAATTCTCACTTATGTACAACATATATGGTGCAACAACAATTTCAGAATAAAATAAAAGGACATAAGAAACTAATTATCTCAATATGGCCACAACTCCTGTTGACATTAACAACAGTCAAATATGCAGAGAAAAGGTAACAATTTGCTTTCCCCCTTTTAACTAAAAGTTAAAACTTCAAATATTGAATCATTGTCCTCAATTCAAAAAATGAAGTCAGCAGCAAGTTCATAAGCATAGTCTAATACTATTTTCATATTTATTGTAAATAAAATTATGATCTACAATATAAAAGATATTTATTGCAAATGGCCTAAAATTGTGATCATCATGGCTGAAATTATAGGGGTTTCAGACTACTCAAAAAAAGTGACATTTAAAAAATTTAAATATTTACTTTTTGCAAACAGGTCAGGTCAGAATCTCTGTGAAAGATTTTATCCATGGGAACACTGCTATTAGAAGAAATATAAAAAGTCTTGATTAGATAAATGAACAAATCTGTTCTCTATTTAAATTCTAATACATACATACAAATTATAAATTGGCTTATCTTAAAAACAAGAGTATTACAAGCAAATACACATACCTATGAGAGAGTCTGTATTTTTCAATGATCCATCTTGTTTTTTCAAACACTAATTCCCACTTAGGTTCTTCCAACATCTGATGAACTTCAAACTTGTAAGGCAGGCCTATAAGTCATTAAAACATGATTACTCACTAGTTCCCTTATATCTGTCACTCCTCTTCAAAACTGGATGCACTCTTCCTCCTTCCTTGCAACTGTTCCTAGTTATTTACGATTGTTGCAGCAACAATAACTTGTAAACCTATAACTTACCAAAATTAAGCAGATTAAAGTGACAGTGTCAGCTAGTTTATGTTGCAAATTTAAATTTGACAGAAACAAAGTTTTTTTTATTAAATTGTATCATGTTTTTGTTTGGGGTTAAACTTTCAAAATAAAATAGTTGTGCAAAAAAAAAGTAAAACAGCAAAACTAAATGTTTTATAATTTATCGCCACTCATTTATTTTTAAGGACATATTTCTCATCTCTCAGGCTAATGTTCTAGTGTTCCCCGTGGATTGAACAACATGGATAATATGTATTCTTTATTCATGAGCAAGGTGTTATGGATGATTCTGACTGATAGTTGTCCTAAATTTGAGGGGAGGGCAAGAGAACACCTGGGCTACATATGAAAAACAGAACAATGTAGTTGTTCCAGCTCTTTGCAAATCCTTAAGGAATCAGTGAAGCATCATAAAGACACTTAAAAATATTGTATCTAATTTTGTAATTTATCAGCACAAATAATTGTATAATTGTTTTAAGACCTGTGTATGAATTATGTTTCTATCTGCACTGACTGTGAAGGCAGGGTTACTCTATGTGACTCCATCAGTATGGTAATCCAGGAGTATCACAAAAAAATAATCTATGCTTTGCCCACAGCATTAAGTAAGCACAATTCAAGGTGTTGGCCTCTCCTCACTAATAGACCTTATAAATATAATGAGGGATGTATCAGATCAGATCAGATCAGATTAGCTATAATTCCCAACACTGAAAGATTAAATTCCCTAATGTTTGAAGGCAAAGGCTGAGTTGGGGACAGCATTTATGAACTATGAAACAGGAAAAAATAATCCTACTAAATGGACTGTTATTCTATGGCTTTGCCTCAGATCAGTAAGGGAGTAAAAAAAGGAAACAAATGAATTCTTATAGTTATTGTAATTTTTATACAAACTGTCTAGTATTTTTTAAGGAGTAACAAAAATACACCATATAACACATGAGATGAAAATAACTGAAAGTTTTAACAAAGGAATCTACACGGAACAGCATTCAGATTCTTCTGACAGGAGTCAGCGGGTGTTTCCATCAAGATCTTGCCCCTAAATGTTATTAGTTATCAAAATATCCAAGTTAAGAACGGATACATTTAAGAGATACTCACTAGCCAAAGGAATAAACCTACTAGCCAGAATCGATATGTGAGACTGGGTAGAATAGAACAAATCCGGAAGGTAAATGGGCAGTCCTTATAAGCAGCCCTTTTTGTACTGCTCAAAAGAGGACGAGTGCTGGGATTCCTGACACGATATCAGTCCTAGAATCTGTTTGCAGTTACATCTTTCCATATTAGCATAGGTATAGTAAGTGTGAACCCTCTCTGCACACCAAATTCCCAACTACTGAAAAGGAGTCTCCTGTTATTCTACTGCTTCATCAATCTCTCCTTTGCGTCACCTCTCTATTTCCAAGCCTCTGTGATAAGATCTGCCTCCCCTTCTATGCCTATGTCCACTCAGTTTTCTGATGCAGCAGAGTGGAACTGACAGAATTCTTAAGGGTTTCACTCCTGTTGAGTTCTGTGTCTCAACAATGAAACTGATCAGTCTTGATAACTTCATTTGGCTGTGATTTGGGAAAACCATGAGCAGCAACAGAGACAATGCACAGCTGTATGCAGTCATGAAGACAACATTCGATCTCTGTATATTTGGAATATTTCTTTACACTTTATGAAATACTAATAGTTTTTTAAAGTGAAAGTTATATTAAGCAGAAAGTAACTGTTTAAGAGCCTCCACTTGCCAGTGAAAGCTGACCAATTTCTGAGATGAGAGAATTCTTCAAGCCTTTGTTCAAGTGTTGCGAAAATAAATTTTCAACCAAAACCCTGAAGGACAGAGGAGTGGAGTAAAAGTAATTAGTTCAGATACTTACGGTAGGAGCCATCAGAACTAATCTCATCACTAATAACCAGACAAGTAATCTGGGAATATGGAAGAGGATTATTTCGGTTATAAGGACTTATGATCATTCCAATGAACATTGCCCCTCCTCTGGAGAAATAACTCTAAATGAAGAAAAAAAAATGTTAATACATTTTATAAATTCAGTACAAACTGATCTCCCAGCTAGCTATCTCTAAGTCTATAAAATTAGAAATCAGAGACATTTGTAAATCCTTAAAAACTTGGAAAACAGATTACCCTACTCCAGAATAAATATTCAATATAATATTTATTGTTCTTTCTTTCCTCAATTTTAATTAAACAAGCTCTAAATTAATCATTGTAAGGTTCTGTAAAGCCGAAAGTGAATTTACAACCAAAATGATTTTCAATTATGCAAACCAGAACCATTACTATATTAAGCATATTAAATTATAAATATTAGAAATGAAAGATTTTGTTTAACATACACACAAAGAATACCTGGTATTTAGCCTGTGTGTCAATATCTCGTATAGAAGGATTGGGGTCAAAAGCAGGATGAGAGTGGTACCACCCGATAACACTGTACCCTCTAACTGCCAACGTTTCTGAGGCCTGAGTTTGAGACACAGGATCCATCTCACATTGTAGTCCTGTACTGAGACTATTGCATGGTTCGGCTGCACAAACCTATAAAGAACATCTCAATATGGATAAAACGGAAAAACTAAGTGAAAACATTTAAACCAATCATAAATCAATGTTAAATACTAGAGTCTCTTATGCAAGAGTAAGAGAGACAATGACAAGCCAGATATTTTTACGAAATCTTAGATTTTGTAATTTCAAGATTATAATGATTAATTTGCCAAATGTCATCTTAAGACAAACAAACAACTAATTCAATAATTTTTAGGACACTATCACTTGCACAGATGTTTTTCAATAGAAGACATTAATTAATAATTTTAGTAAAATGCAGAATGAACACTGAACAGCCTCCCCGCAAAAAAACTTACTTCAACAATTCTATCAGCTTCAGAGTATCTTCCGCCTAATAGGCCTATTACTTCTGCCATGGAAACATGAGCATGCTAAAGATATATAATATAAACACATTACTTAAAATATTTCTTTAAAATACCAATTTTCATAACTGCTTTTAATCTTGGATTTACATTATAAAACACTATCTTCACAGGATGCAATCCAGTTCTCTCAGTAAGATTTAGAAGGAAAACTGAGAAAATAAAGACTCAAATACTGCGTGTTTCAATTTTAAGCAAATGAATAAAGATGATCTTTGCCACCTATATGAGTATGAAATATGTAGAGATACTGTTAGTTGGAGAAGCTGCCACCATTTAACATCAAGAATCCTGTTTCTTAACTGAGAAGATTTTGGCCTGGTCTGCTTTGTTATTATAAAGAGACTACACAAGAACTAAATCACCTCCTGGACTGCGAGGCACAGACAGTAATGATGCCGATGGATTCCAAAGTGGCAACATGCACAATGAAGAGATGTTTCTTTTGGAGCAACTGCTATCACAGAAGATGGATATCCTGAGAGAAACAGAACTAAGTACAGATCTGATAGTGCTCCAATTTAAGTCAGTGACAATTGTCTAGTGACTTCATTTTTAACAGCCATTCACATTGGTAGACAGCTTGCATAAACGATGGTTATTATTACAGTAAAATATCTAGACACAATCCTATAGGTATGCAGCAGTTTGGGTTTTCTCCCATTGTATACTCTGGCTTTTATGTCTAAAACGGGAAGAAAACTAATTGAGGAAAATACCAAAATATATATTTAGTCCATTATAAAACACTACTTAATCCTTACCAAGTCCATTATTAAAAGTGCTTCTGAAGCCACTTTCACCTGAAATGGTTCCTGGAATAACAAACAATAATGAGTACAAGGGACATCCTGTAAGTAAAAAACGAATGTTCTCAATTATCCATTAATATATACTTACTCGTTTTTCTTCAGTGAAGAAACAGCAAGGGATCAGCTGAAAGGGATCAAAGGAACTACAAAATAAAAGAATTTTCTTCTAAAAGATAAAGGACAATTTAACCAAAAAAAGGTCTTGAATAAATCACATTTTTCCCCCAACAGCCACTCCTTTGTTGAAGTTGCTAATTCTCCCCACTGTTTTCCAATTACTAGAATCTTGCAATTGACATCAATTTAAACTGTAAAGTTTTATATTGTAATTTACAATTGTGATGTCAGACTTTCACATTTAGACTGCAAAGCACATACTTTAAGACAGTAACAATTCACAACATTTTGGTTTGAATCTATGCAAACTAGTTAGTATCCTTATTTCCAAAAGAAGTATTGTAGAGAAGACAGCACACAAAAAGAAAACCTTTTTGTCTGTCTTGATCCTTTAGAAGATTTTGCAGGTTTAAGTTTCTCCTCCTCTCGTCTTCTTGCTAGTTCCTCAGCAGAGAGATGCTAAAAAACAGATTTCATCATTAGTGATTGCCAGGCTCCTTTAACATACTTAGATTCTAGGTACAAATTTGCAGTCAGACATACTAGCAGCTTTTGTCACTAGATCACTCACTATGCACTGGAACAGCCAGAATATATATTCCATGTAATGTGAAAACAGTGACAAAGCCATTAGCACATAGATCTGCTTTTGCAAGAAGATGGAAGAGACCCCTCCTATCATCCCCCCAATGCCTGATCTAACAAGAGTTCAAGTAATGGCAACAACATAAACCTTAACTATCAAATCTGTGCATAACTACAACTTCCATTATTGGTTACTTGACTATTCTATAGTCCCCAAGGGTGGACAGCTGGTTTAAAAACCAGTTCCCCTTGCGGACTGACTTCTTGTGTGAGCTCCCAGACCTGGTGCAAGTCAGAACTGAGCCAGGCTGCCTGCCTGCCCAGCTCCTAATACACTTTAAATGCAAAGCTGCAGCAGGGGAAGGTCCCAGACCTGGCAAAAGCTGGAACTGAGCCAAACTGCCTTACAACCTGCTAAAAATTTACTGGCAAGGCGGAATAAAAATACATGTAGTCTATAGCATTAACCAATAAGCTTTTGCTTATCGGTTAATCGACTGCACTATTACTTCCCTACTTTGGTGCTTACATTTTCCACTTAGACTTAACCAAAAGATCATTCTCTGCAGGAAATGGTAGAGACAGCAGACAAAACCATTCAGACATTCTAGATACTGGTTGCCATGCTTGCCTCAATTATGAAGCATGGCTGCCTTGTGACATTTTGTATAAATACAACTCAATGGCAGAAAAAGCACATTTTGTTTAAACTTCAAGTGTTCTCTAGATTTCCATGAGATCCAATAAACAAAACAGTTCAAGAAATTTTATATTAATTACACATATTTTTCTCCACAGAGGAAAAGTGGGATTATCTGTTAAATTTCTCGGCTCATGGTAAGATTCAGAACACTAGAAGTATGCACGCACGGTAGACAATTTTCTGTTTAGTCTAAACTGATTCAATGTTGATGACACTGCAAAGTCCTTCAGTATCATCTATAGCTGCAAGGACTTCAAAACTCTGGAAAATCTTACAATGGTGATATCACATAATTTTAGATAGAAGGATACAAAAGGAGGGGGAGGCACATGGGACTGTTCACACGACCTAAATTCTATCCTTAGAGGAATAATTATAGGACTGGAAACCTAGAAGGCCTACATTTTATTATCACCTCAGCTAGCCTCAATAAGGTCACAATAAATGGTATAAGAATCAGGACTGAATTTGAACTCACATCTCCTGACTCCTAGGTCAAGGTCTAGTCCACTAAATTAGCTCTTCCCAGGTATAAGAAAAACAGTCCATTTTTCTCCATAATCATCACACACTGCACTTATTATAAAGACCCCATTGTCTTACCGCTAAAAATCCAGCGTAAAGTCACACATTTATCACCTATCTTTCTTGTGCAACATAAAAACTCAGTATATTATGTAAGGATATTGTGTACTGTAGTACAAAGTATTCAGGTTGGTTGATTTTTGAAGTCACTATAATAAACCTACAAAGCTAGGCAAACATTAAATCGGTTTTATTGTTATGAAAAACGTCTAAAATCAGCAAGCTGAAACTTAAAAAAAATAAACTCATACTTTTATTACTGATAATTTGTGATAGAAAGTCCAAACTTTAAGGTATAAGCAACAAAGGAGCACAGGTTCAGATCCCAGCCTTAACTCTGCTTTTCCAGATTTATGAATGCCTGATATTTCAAACAATGTTTCATTAAAGTTTTATTTTTGTTATACACAAAAGATTTATATGATTTGAAATGAAGAGATACTTTTCACTGAATAAAAATAAAATTGATGAAATCTCCAAATTAAAAGAACAAACTTTATGGCCATGTGTGATGGGGTGGACTAAGTCCTGACGCCCCCTACAGGAGGCCAGAGGCCTTGCCACACCCCTTCCCAGTGACAGGAGCAGAAGAGAGGTCTTCCAGGCAGGATAGAGAGGCTGTCTCTGCGGCAGCCAATCAGGGCCCAGCAGACAGGTATAAAAGAACCTGATGGTCTAGGACCTGGCAGTTCCTCACAGGAGCTTGACCTACGCAGTTCTATATACGGTCTGAAAGAACAGCGGCATTACGGACAGCTCCGAGTTCAAGCTGAACTTTAGACCTGGGTGAGGCCCAGGTCCAGTGGCCAAAGACTGGCCAAAAATGAATACAAGAACTGATAGCACTGCGGATAGGGCTAGTAAGATCCTAGCCTTAGAACCGTGAGTTGACCAGACAGAGCGGCATCCAGAGGAAGTGACCCAGGGAGCAAGGAAGTACCAGACGGCCAAGCAAGAGCTTACCCAACACCCCTCAGCAACAGAGGGGCACTCACAAGCAGGAGGACCCGGTTTCACCATGCCATACACAGTGTATGCTTTAAAGCAGCGGTTCCCAACTGCCGGTCCACAACCCACTGGCTGCTGGGCTGCAGTGGATGCCAAAGCTCAAGACAGCTGTTCACAGCAGCTGGGCTCCGGCAGCTGTGGTGACTGAGGCACGGCAGGAGGTAGCGGAGCAGTAGGCATCTCCCTCCCTTCTCTGTGATTGGGAAAAGAGGGGGTGCGTGCACTGCCAGTGGCCACTCTCCCTACCTGCATGGCCGCTTTTGACGGCGGCAACAATAGGGTTTAGGTTGCGGCAGGAGGAGGAGATGTCTCTCTCCCTTCTTGGTGATGGCTGCCAGCTGGAGCTCCATGCTCTCCCCACGCAGCTGCTTTGGCCAGAGGCCCCACTGAGGCAGCAGCAGGAGGAAGCAGAAAAGGTGGCATCTCCCTTCCTGCTCCCCCCCCTCAGTATTGGCCGCCAGCCAGGGCTCCATGCTCTGCCCCCTCGGCCGCTTTTGCGGTGCCTCCCTCCCTGGTAATGGCAGCCTGGCTGGAGCACCGTGCTAGCTCTCCCACCCACGGGTCTGCAAGAAGTGCTTGGGGAGGGCGGGGGTGCGAAGGATGAGTGCATGTGCGCGCTGCCAACAGCCATTCCCCCTTTCCGCAGAGCAGTAACAGCCACGCTCCCTAGAGGGGCAGCCTCACTCTGAAGAGGGGTGGGGGGAACAAAGAGGTGTTGTGCTCGGTGTAGTGGAGTCACGGGGCAAGAGGGTGTTGGTATGGGCAATAGGGGTCAGAGGTTAAAGGCTATGTGGCATAGGGTTGGGGGTCAAAGGGTATTAGCCACTGGGGAGCAAGAGGATGGGTTGGGGCTATATCGTCATTGTACACTTGTATTTGCATATTCATTATTTGAATAATGAATATGTAAATATGCAAATAAAATGTTATCAGTCCACCAAAGGTTTGTAAATGGGTTTGTTGGTCCTCAGCATAAAAATGTCTGGGAACCACAGCTTTATAGTATGACTGTACTGGACATGAATACCTTGCATACTCAACGTTCATTCACCACAATATTAGCACAACTGCCTAACAGTTGCTCCAACATTACTGTAAAATAATAGCTTCCAAAAGAACAAATGTAATTTTTGTGCAGATTATGTAATCTTTTTTCTACTGTATTTGATGACACACCATCTGATAAATGGTTAGCAAGAATCAGAGCTCCCAGAACAATTCCCAGAACAATGTAAAAATAGAAGTTACCTCAAATGTCTGTCCTTCCAAATCCTTGGCATCACACCAGTTTCCCCAGGGGTCTCGCACACGCCTGCGTCTTGTACGCTGGAGCAGGCAGATAAAATACTAGTCAAACATCATCAATCCATGCACAAAAAAACACTGACCTTTCCTGAATTTAATCAGCCATAAAGTGACATCCAAATGGTCAGTGGCTCATAAACATTACAATTCTCAGAATAGGCCCAACAACACAGAACTCTTTACTTTAGTTTACACAGTTGGCAGTGTGCCTAGAAATAAATGAGTAAAGGTTTCTCTAAACAGTATAATAAATACCTAAGTGAAGATCCACGAAACCAATTAGTATAGATAGCATGGTTTAGTGTATATGCGCTTGGTAGATTTTGTTTTCAATTTCAAAAATTAATAATGATTTTTATTTTTAAATTGTAAACAGTTTTTATTTTTACAGTAGTGGAAAATTGGGTGTTGGAGTAGAGTCGGAGTTAGGCCAGTGCTGACACGCTACAGCTGCACAGGGCTCCCTGTGTGGCCAAGAGGCCCAAGACACAAGAGGTGCCATGGAAGAGTGGAAAAACAAAGACCATTAGCCAAACCTCCAAGGATGACAACAAGCCTATGGCTGCAGTGAAGGTCACACTGCTGCTGCACAATTCCTGCCTGGGACAGGCCCTGCACTCCTGGCTGGTGAGTAAATGAGTAAGGCCATGATAACAGAGATGCAAAGGCCTCCCTGTGCTTCCGCATTGCTGGTCTCACTCGATTCCTGCAGACACATGGTGTGAGGAAGGATGTGGGCAGGGCAGGGCAGAGCAGAGATTCCCAGTCACGATTCTGAGGGGAGGTAGAAGAGGAGCTGCCAACTGCAGGGAAACCATCTTGTTGCCAAATGGCTCTGTCCCCAAGTAGGACTTCAGCCTTACCTACACCTTGCACCTGCAGAAATCCAGCATCATCAGCCCTACAGTCCTGCAAGGATCTCTCTGCAGCTTTGTTGGTAAAACTCATCCATTCACTCCCATAACAGCAAGACTGCAGAATGCTCTCTGTGCTGCTGTAGGGCCACTACCACCCAATCCCCACAGGCACAAGGTGCAGGAAAGGGAGGCTGCATTTACACCAACTGTTACAAATAGATTTTTTTTTAACCAATTTCAGTGTGTCAGGTGAAATCAACATTTACAAATACCAATTTAAATCAAACGCTGGCAAGTCTAAATATACCGCAAAGTGTGATGCAAATAATATTGGTATGCTCATGCTTTCTGCATAACATTTTTTTTCCTGTGATGGGATGGATTAGGTCCTGTTGCCTTGTAGACCTGCAACACCCTGTTTCAGAAAAAACTCGAGAGAGAGAGATTATCTGAATAGGCTACAGTGGTGTACGGGAAAAAGCCAATCAGGGCCCAGAAAAGCCATACAAAAAGAGCTGCAGAACAGAGCAGCAGTTAGCTGCTGTGGCAGCTCAAGGATGAAGACTGGGTGACTGGTCGGCTGGAAGAATAGCTGGGACAGATATGTCTAAAAGTTAACAATGGTGGTAAAGCACACATTTGAATCAATAAATAAGATAGAGCCCTGCGGTAATGGCAAAGATAGCACAGAGCCATGGGGAAATGGCCCAGGGGATTAGAGCAGCAGTGCAATGAGCACAGCAGACAGCTGCTATCTACAGGGTCCCTGGGCTGGGACTTGGAGTAGAGGGTGGGACCAGGACCCCCCATTCTCCCTTAGCCACTGGGAGAAGTAGCCTGGACCTTCAGGGGAGGGGGGGAAATTGGACTGTAGTAATGCAGCCAAAGAACTGGAACCAGAAGGGCCTTGACAGGACAAAGTTGCTGTCTCCAAGAAGGAAGCCCTGTGGGCACAGTTTTATTCCAGAGTGGGAACAAACTGAGACATGAAAGAAGGTACTGAAAGAGGCCTTGTTGGACTTGTACCCCAGAAGGGGTTTGTTTTACTTTGCACACAGACTGTGTGTGACTCAGCCAGAGGACTTAGTCATGGAAGAGACTCCATAAAACACAGAGAAAGTGCAAGCGAACACACTCAGCTGAGAGCACTCACAGGAGGTGAGTGCAGCCCCTTTATAATTTCGTATGTGGATTTGTCACTCCCTTTGTGCAGCTGATCTAGTTTTCTTGCACCAATGGATTGAAATACATTGATATCTTTACAGAAAAATGATAATTTGATATTACAAGGGGGCTGTGCTCCATGCTCGCTAGCCACCCTCTGTCCACCACAGCCAGACCATGGCAACAGCAGGAGGGAGGGCCGCCACGAGCCCTTTCTGCAGCAAGGTGGGGGCTAGACTGCGGAGCCAGCCTGAGACAGGACGCTCTAGCCAAATGGGAACTGGGCCCTAATTGGGACCTTGTTGGCCAGGCTTCATTTTAAATAAAGTAAAATATTACATCCAACACAAAAAGGTTTCAACATTGTCTTTATTAATGGTAGGGGTGGGTAACCTTTTTTGGTGTCAGGGGCCGCTAAGCCACAGAACAGTCAGTTGAGGACCACACAAGTGAGAAGGAGAAAAAAGCCCCTCAAAAAACTCCCCAACACTCACAGATATGACCCCCAACTAAAACACCTCACTCCCCCAGTGCTCCAGCCCCATGGGGGAGGACTGAGGTTCAATACCATAGGCCAGATTCACTCTTCTGGGGTTCCAGGGTTTGTGGATTTTATGGGCCCCCTAGGCTCTTGTTGGGGCCAAAAAGTGTGTGGGACAGAGCTGCCAGTGAGAGGGATGGGGGTGCAAGGTCTGAGTGAGAGGCAGGGTGCAGGAGCAGGGTGTCTGGGTGGGGAGACGGGAGCAGGCTGGGACCAAGGGCCAGGAGTGTGTGTGTGTGTGGGGGGGTGTCAGCAGGGAAGTGTGTGAAGGGACTTAGGGGGTGGAGTTTCTGCAGGGCAGTGAGCGAGGGGGCTGGGGATGCAGGGCAGGAACAAGGTGGGGGAAGGTGCCTGGCCAGGAGGGAGGAGGCAGGGTATCTGGCCAGGTGAGAGGGGGACAAGAAAAGGCTGGGAGGGCGGGGTCTCAGCAAGGAGGTGAGTGAGGAGGTTGGGGGGCAGGGTCTGGGCATGAGGGGGAGGGCACTTACTTGTCTTCAGGCCCTGCGCTGGTACCAGGCTTGGTCTCCACTGCTCCAATTAGCCGGATTCTGGCCAATGGGAGCGTAGGGCAAGGCTCCAGACAGTGCACTGCTGTTCCCCTAGTCTGGGCGGGGGAGCGCTTTTCCCCCATGCAGTGAAGCTTGGGTGTTACTTCCCGCCCACCTCCCATTCCCACCCCTCATCACTCTCTCCTCAGCAGGATGAACCTGGCCACTCTGGGCAATGGCTCCTGCCCCGAATCCCCCGTCTCAGGTGGCGGCTCTGGTGGGAGCAAGTGGGGGGCAGCAGGCCCTGTGTCACCTCGGGCTCAGTACTGTAGTGTGACAAGGCAGAGAGGGTCTTGAGCATTTGGCTCATTAAGCCACTGAGCAAGTGGGCTCATTCCAATCCCGATCCACCCAGCCCGGCCTTAGAACAGCTGCTTCCAGAAGGAGTACTTCTCTTTGGTGCTACCAGGGCCAGCCAGCCTGGGGCTGCTCACCCTGGACAGGGGGGAGGATCCACCCATTTCTCCAGTATCTCCCTTTCCCTCTCCAGCCTCCAGGGAGGAGTGAAGGGGAGAAGCCATGCAGCTGAGGGTGGAGGGGCAGCAGGACGAAAACTTTTCCTGTGGGATGCAGAGTGACGTTCTGACGTCACTCTGTCATCCTGCAGGAAAAGGTTTTTTTTAATATGTAGAGAGACATTATTTTAATGAAGCAATTCATTATTTATAAAGTCTTATATACGCTTGCACTCTAAGTCACTCCAGAAACTTGGTAAAATTTACACATTACAATGTAGACAGCCTCACTACATGTGGCCAGCATACTCCAATGCTGTCTCATAACTGCAAATTATGCTGCGTTTTCTAGTTCCAATAGAAAAGACTGAGCAAGCTGGAGTGGAAACCAACTGTGCAATCGAATAGTAATTGGGACAGATATGTCTAAGAGTTAACACTGGTGGTAAAAGCACAGATTTGAAACAAAGTACTCTCAGGAAAGTGATCGAGGTTGAATGGGTTAAGAAGAAGTTAACAGAGACGTGTTGGAAAGCAAAAGTTGAAGAGGCCCTATCCACAACACATGCAGTTTTTTATTTTCTACTTACCATAGACTGCAAACGTTGAGCCAGCTGATATGCTTCTATGGTGTCTTTGCCTTCTTTGGATCGTGTTTTATCAGCTGGTTGTGGTCTGTTATACACAGCCTGTTCTATAGGAAGGCAGAGCACACACATTATTCTTCACTAACAATGGTAAATAAAAATTTCATATTTAATACAAATCTCAATTAGGAGGTATTACTCTATGATCAGACAGTAGTATAGTCAACCTGGGCCTCACTTAGTAGCATGCAACTGTAAGGGTATGTCTACACTACCACCCTAGTTCGAACTAGGGTGGTAATGTAGTCAGCCGGAGTTGCAAATGAAGCCCGGGATTTGAATTTCCCGGGCTTCATTTGCATATTGCCGGGCGCCGCCATTTTTAAATGTCCGCTAGTTCGGACTCCGTGCCCCGCGGCTACACGCGGCACGAACTAGGTAGTTTGGACTAGGCTTCCTATTCCGAACTACCGTTACTCCTCGTGGAACGTTTCACAAGGAGTAACAGTAGTTCGGAATAGGAAGCCTAGTCTGAACTACCTAGTTCGTGCCGCGTGTATCCGCGGGGTACCTAGTTCGTGCCGCGTGTAGCCGCGGGGCACGGAGTCCGAACTAGCGGACATTTAAAAATGGCGGCACCCGGCAATATGCAAATGAAGCCCGGGAAATTCAAATCCCGGGCTTCATTTGCAACTCCGGCTGACTACATTACCACCCTAGTTCGAACTAGGGTGGTAGTGTAGACATACCCAGAGAAAGGGTAACTTCCTTCCTATCTGTGAAATTTCTTTCTATGACCCTGCAGGTCCTGTAGTCAGTACAGTGGGGCATTCTCCTGCCTTCTACGGTTAGAAACAGAACAAAGACTGACACAGCCAGAAGATAGGACAACCACCTGTAGAGAACAGCAGAACAATGGCTTTCAGTGCTAAAAATTAGCCATGGGAACAATATAATCAATCAAGAGAACGGTGACCCATTCCATTAGGATCTTTTTTCTCATCGTTGGGACACTGCAGGACATGAGGAGAGGCTGTGATAATTATGTATGATCACTTACAAGACAGCTGTGGTTCACTCAAAGTATATACCAAATTAATCAATGCTTTCTTTGGCTCTGTATTCACGGACAAGGTCGGCTCCGGACTAATGCGCTAAGCGACCCAAGATGGGATGAAGATGGACAGTCCTTAGTGGGTAAAGAACAGGTTAGGAACTATTTAGAAAAGCTAAACATACACAAATCCATGGGTCCGGACTTAATGCATCTGGGGATACTGAGGGAGTTGGCAAATGTCATTGAGGAGCCTTTGGCCATTATCTCTGAAAAGTCGTGGAGCTCTGGAGAGATTCTGGATGATTGGAAAAAGGCAAATGTAGTGCCCATCTTCAAAAAAGGCAAGGAGGACAATCCAGGGAACTATAGGCCGGTCAGTCTTACCTCCGTTCCTGGAAAAATCATGGAAGGGATCCTTAAGGAATCCATTTTGAGGCACTTGGAAGAGAGGAAAGTGATTAGGAATAGTCAGTATGGATTCACAAAGGGCAAGTGGTGCCTGACCAATCTGATTAGCTTCTGTGATGAGGCAACTGGCTCTGTGGACATGGGAAAGTCAGTGGATGTGATATACCTTAACTTTAGCAAGGCTTTTGATGCAGTCTCCCACAATATTCTTGCCAGCAAATTAAGGGAATGTGGATTGGACAAATGGACAGTAAGATGGATAGAAATCTGGCTAGAAGGTCGGACCCAGTGGATAGTGATCAACGGCCCCATGGGTCAGGATGGCGGTCGGTTTCTAGCAGAGTGCCCCAAAGTACGGTTCTGTGACCGGTTTTGTTCAATATCTTTATTAATGACTTGAATGAGGGGATGGATTGCACCCTCAGCAAGTTTGCAGATGACACTAAGCTCAGGGGAGAGGTAGATACGCTTGAGGGCAGAGATAGGGTCCAGAATGACAAACAAATTGGAGAGTTGGGCCACAAGAAATCTGAGGAGGTTCAACAAGGACAAGTGCAGAGTCCTGCACTTGGGACGGAAGAATACCAAGCATTGTTACAGGCTGGGGGCCCACCAGCTAAGTAGTAGTTCTGCAGAAAAGGACCTGTGGGTTACAGTGGATGAGAAGTTGGATGTGTCTCAACAGTGTGCCCTTGTAGCCAAGAAGGCTAATGGCATATTAGGGTGCATTAGAAGGAGCATTACCAGCAGATCCAGAGAAGTGATTATTCCCCTTTATTCGGCTCTGGTGAGGCCATAACTGGAGTAGTGTGTCCAGTTCTGGGCCCCCCACTACAAAAAGGATGTGGATGCATTGGAGAGAGTCCAGTGGAGGGCAACCAAAATGATTAGGGGTCTGGAACATATGACCTATGAGGAGAGGCTGAGGGTGTTAGGACTGTTTAGTCTGCAGAAGTGAAGAGTGAGGGGGGATTTGATAGCAGCCTTCAACTTCCTGAATGGAAGTTCCAAAGAGGATGGAGAAAGGCTGTTCTCAGTAGTGACAGATGGCAGAACAAGGAGCAATGGTCTCAAGTTGTGGTGGGAGAGGTCCAGGTTGGATATTAGGAAAAACTATTTCACTAGGAGGGTGGTGAAGCACTGGAATGGGTTACCTAGGGAAGTAGTGGAGTCTCCATCCCTAGAGGTGTTTAAGTCTCAGCTTGACAAAGCCCTGGCTGGGTTGATTTAGTTGGGATTGGTCCTGCCTAGAGCAGGGGGCTGGACTTGATGATCTTCTGAGGTCTCTTCCAGCTCTATGGTTCTATGATTAGCTGAAGAAACAGGTTAACTGCTACTTTTCAGTAAGTTATGTTTTCCCATTTTATGAGAAACTTCTATTAATAAATCCATACTAGAAGACTCCAAATATTTTGGAAATTTAAAAGCAAGACAAAAGCACAATTTATATTTTTTGAAGTCTATAACCTTACAGGCAGATTCTGGAACCTTTATCTCTGCTAATACTACTTGTACTAGGGATGTTAGATATCGGGCAATTGAATAATTGTGCAACCGCATTAAATCTTAGCTGTTACATGACTATTCAATAGTCCCCATTGGTGGGACCAGCAGCTAGTGTGCTCTGACCTCACTCCTGGGGAGCCGCCTGCCAGCCAACGCTGCTTTCTCTGTATCAGAGGCAGTAATGTGAGGTGCCAAGCAGGAGCTGATCCGCCAGGGGAGAAAATTTAAAACCCAGCTCCCTGCCACCTTGTGCTGCTGCCTCTGCATCAGAGGCAGCAGCCCCTGTCCACAGGGGTCCAGCTCCCAGCAGACAGAGGCTGCTGCGGTGAGGGCGGTGGGGGGGTTAGGGTTAGGGCACCATGGAGACAGTGCTGGGGGAAACCAGCTTTTAAGCTGGCTCCCCCACAGCATCTGTTCCTGCTCCTCCACCAGTGTTCCGTCTACAGTGCACAAGAGCACAGCTTCACAGGTGATTAATAAGCTACACATTGACATCCCTAACTCATATGAGTAGTCCATTAAGATTTACATGATGACAAGGGTTGGAGGTCAAACAGGTTGAAATGCCATTATGCAAAGTACCTGCTCCAAAGAGCTTACATGAAATAAAGGTGAGTTGTGACCAATGTTCCCTCTAATTTTGTCCATTCACGTGCAGATTTTTTCCATCCACGTACAGAATAGAGATGTATAATCCTATTTAATCAGTTAACCAGTTAAATGTTTAACCGATTAACTGATTAAGCGAGATCCCAGGTGTGGGACCACCCCAACGTTACTGGAGCAGCTCCCAGTCATGCCCAGGACAGCTGCCAGCTCACAGATCCACCAGGGGTAGCTGCTGAGCACCGGTAAACCACTACCCAGTTAGCATCACCCAGCAAGAGTGATGCTTACCAGGTAACTGGTTAGTCGTACACATCCCTAGAGCAGAATAATTTCTTTTATGTGCACCGAGGAATGTGCGAATGTGCCGCACCAGTAGAAATAAAAAACCTTGTGGGTGCTCCGCTAATCAGCCAAGGGTCATTAGAAGCTCTCCTGAGTGGGCCACACAAGCACAGTTCATAGAGAACACCAACTGAGATATAAGAGAAAAAGGGAGATGGAATGAAGATTATCCACATAGATAGCTGTGACTGGATTGACTGAAAAAAGTACTCAAGAAGGAATTTAACACAAAAGATCCTTTTAAAAATGCAAATTTCCCTCTACCTTGATTTTTACACCACATAAAATATACTCAACTTATCAAAATGTTTTCTAACCAATAACAGATATTGTTAACATTGTGGTTATCATTTGAATGGATGGAGATTAAAATGATTTTTACCACAGCCAAAGTTAATTGCTCCTATTAACTCCAGGTATGTGTGTATCCGTCCAATACAGTTAACATCACCACAATTCTTAAGGCCTGGACGTACTGAAGTCTTATTCAGGTATTTAGGTTTACATCGTTCCCTGAAATAAATCACAGGACACTTTCAAACAAAAAGAAAGTGACGAATGGGAAAAAAGGAGAAAAGAGTTTAACTGTTTTGTGAAGCCATTTGGATTTCCTTGTAATATTCACATTTTTTCCATAGGAATTTGAGAGATTCTCATTATTCAATGTGTGTAGCACTCATACCTAAAATGCTAGTGGTAAACAAGCTTTTATTAATCAAAAAAGCTACTCATGAAGTAGGATTTCACCATTTGAGACTGTTTTCTGAAATACACTCTATGAAAAATGTATGGCGGAGTATTCATGCAGATATTTAAGCTTCACAGAAATGTGTAAAATTATAACAGCATTTCAGGCTATGCGGACATATTCAAATGCATGCATAGGGAAAAAGATATCCATACAAAACATAAAATATAGGCCCTGGAAATGAATGGTGCCAGGAAGCAACAAGTTATTGATCTTGTTAAAATAAAGTACAGTAGACTTCCGATAATCTGGCACCTTTGGAACCTAGGTGGTGCCGGATTATCAGATATGCTGGAGTATCGGGAGGTCCTGGTACAGCTACATGGCTTAACAGCTGGCCGGGACACAAACTCACTCCCTCTCCCCTCCCCTTTCCTCTTCACTTTTCCTCCCTGCTGTAAACTGATCCTCCTCCCCCACCCCACCTCCTTCTTTCCCCCTTGATGAAGCAAAACGCTCTTCTCCATACTGTAACAAGATCCCACTCTCCCCCTCCCCAACCTTATGCTCAGTCCGGGTACAGCGGGCACATGTACTGAGCGGCAGGCTTATTAATCAGCTAGTCAGGAGCGCCTGATATTTTGATGCCGGAGTATCAGAAGTGCCGAACAATTGAGTGCCGGACTATCGAAGTTTTATTGTACTTGTGCCCATTCCTAAAGACATTCTATTTATTAAATAATTATTCGACATCATTACTTAATCACTTGCAGGCTAACATGATAATCTTGTTTTTTATCCTTCATGCACATTTGATGCTTTTTAAAATTACTGATACTGAAGTCTGTCAAAATTTTCCCTAGAATTATGGGACCTTACCGCTTACATCAGAGAAACTAGTAATTTCAGGAACCACCTAGAGAGAGACTATAGCACTGGTGTTCATATGCAAATCTGACACCTTTATCCAGGGACT